CAGGTCACCAGGACTGGTGGCATGTGCCTTTAACCACTAAGCCATCTTGACAGCCAGTTTCTTTTTTTAATGCCTCAGATGATAACAACTGTTTTCCTAGCGTTGCACATCTCTTTTTTTGGTGCTAAGGCAGAAGTCCACAGACTGATTCCTCCGATTTTTGAGCAACCCCAGATGGCCCTTCTCGGTTAGAAGTTGAAGGAAAGCTTAATCTTCTAAGCCCTTTTATAAACAATCTGGAAAACACTAGTTTGGTTTCTGGCTGTTGGTAATTTACTTGCACAAGGTCACAAAGCACACTGAATACAAGATGGAACTTGACATTAGAACAACTTGACTTGGTTCCCTCTTCTTTCACTAATCACACCTTTACTTAGCCACTGCAGGCTTATTTCCATAACTGCTAACTCGGGACTTTATAATTAAACTTTTTCCATTTGTGATGTCTTTTCTCTGCTTGAGAATTTTTTTTTAACTTTATTTTATGTGTATGTTTTCTGCCTGCATGTATGTAAGTGCACCAGGTGCATGCAATGCCTGCAGAAGCCAGAAGAGGGCATCAGACAACCTAGAACTGGAGTTAACAGAAGGTGTGAGCTGCCATGTTGTGCTGGGAACCAAATCTCGGTCCCCTGCAAAAACAGTCAGTGCTCTTAACTACTGAGTCATCTCTCCAGCCCCCTGCCTGAGATATTTTCATGGGACCCCAAGTGTATATGTATATAAAGCAGATAAACAGGTCAAACATTTACTGATAATAAATCATACTGAAACTTATTCTCAAATAATTCTTTGATATACATGTATATATATATATACATACAATTTTGCTGTTTATTAAAGATGAAGCAAACTTGCATATTAATGAGACAGATGTAGTTTATTTTGACATAAAGAATTTTGGACTGGGGATATGGCCAGCATTCACCTAGCATGCACAAATGCTGGGTTCAATCCCTAGTGTATACACACACACACACACACACACACACACACACACACAAATTAAATCTTGGCTGAATATGTGAAAATGCAAGATAGAGTGCATCAGCCAGGTGTGATGTCACAGGCCTTTAATCCCAGCACTTGGGAGGCAGAGAAAGGCAGGTGGATCTCTATGAGTTCAAAGGCAGTCTGGTCTACATAGTGAGTTCCAAACCAGTCAGGGCTACATAGCAAAACCCTAACTCAAAAAGCAAAACAACAACAACAAAACAAAATACAGAGTATCTTCACTATTTTTCAGAGTTGGCTGATATTTAATATTTTTAATCTTCAGAGCTGAGAATGCCACTTTACATAAATACCCAGTACAAAATGGCAGCAGTAGATTTAGAGCCATGTCAGAAGTTGTTGAAAATTCTGCCCTAATCCCAACTCAAAGAACACTGCACTTTTTTTTTAAATGAAACTGAAGATAGCAACCCAATAGAAAGTTTCAAAGCAAACATTTTAATATAATGCAATCTAAAATATATTGATACACGCTAAGGAATGAAGATGGGAAAATATTAATAGTCTACTTTCTGTAATTAAACCATGCTGTTTCTATATGAGCAGAACGATTTGTATGCACAATTTAAAAAAAAACCCAACACTGCAATCCATAACACATGATAGTTTCGAATCTCAGCTGAGAAGTTTCGGGCAGTGATTGTGGTGCTATGTGGCATGGTGGCATGTGCAAAGTGTGTGTGTGTGTGTGTGTGTGTGTGTGTGTGTGTGTGTAGTATGCAGTGAAGTTGCCCCATGACAGATGGGAGCACTGTCAGAATCACCACAGGTTTGATTTTGAATTAATTTTTGGTCATTGTACATTTACTTATGTTTTGTTTTGTTTTGTTTTAGATAGGGTCTCCCCATAGCCCCAAATGGCCTGAAACTCACTATGTAGACCAGGCTAGCCAAGATCTCATTGAGAGCCACCTGTCTTTGCCTCCCAAGTGCTGGGATTAAAGGTGTGGGCCATCACATCTGGTGCAGATTTATTTTTAAAGATTTATTTTTATGTATGTGTTTGCCTCATGTATGTATCTATGTACGCACACATGTATGTGCAGCATGTGCATGCAGTACCCACAGAGCCCAGAAGAGGGCATCAGATCCCCTGGAACTAGAGTTACAGGTGGGTGTTAGCTGTCATGTGGGTGCTGGGAACTGAATCTGGAACCTCTGCAAGAGCACCCAAAGCTCTTAATTGCTGAGCTGTCTCTCCAGCCCCACATTTAGAAACCCTTCATTGTTGCCAATTTTTTGCAATCTCCCCCCCAGTTTTTGCACAACCCCATATGGGGTTGCTACCCACAGTTAAAGCTGGGAGCTAAGTGAATTAGACAATCTCCACCTTCACGTTATTCACACATTACAACTCTTTTCCAAACTGAAATACATCTCAAGATAGCGTCAAACTCTTGGCAATCAGGAGAAGAGCAAATCTCTAACAAGGCCCCCATGGTGGTGCACGCTGGGGAGGCTGGGACAGGAGGACTGCCACAAGTTTAAGGCTACATAGTGAGTTCAAGGTCAGTCTGCGCTACAGAGGAAGAAGGAAGAAAGGAAGAGGGGGAAGAAGAGGAGGGGAAGGAAAGAGGAAAGGAAAATCTTGGAGTGCTCACTGGGCAAACAGTGGCCCTTCTGGTGCCACATTCAGTTGGAATGCCAACATTCACTGCTGCCAGAAGACCTACTAAGTGACTTGGTCCTTAACTATGCCTTTCTCTCCCGATGACTGAATCTCAAGGGACAACTTCCCGAGTGCTCGAGGGTAGTACTAATCTGGAGCTGGAACGTCCAATAAGGTGACCACAGCCATGTAGGGCTGAACCGTGAAAGGCAGCCAGTTGGAGCTGAGACTGGACTGATGGGCTTTTTGAAGACTTGGTAAGAAAAATGAGAATAAATTTTCTCTTTTATAGTGACTATATGTTTAGATAATACTTTGGTGGCACCGGAATCAACCAAATGTTATTGAAATGAACTCCACCTGCTCTTCTTCCGTTTGTTAAAGGGCTACTGACCAAGTTCAACTTACACACGTGGCTCGTAGCACTTTTCTATTGGACGGGGCTGCTCCAGATACAGAATCCAGACGCTGACTCGAGTCAAGCTTTTCTGGCGGTGCTGGGAAACGAACCCGCGGCCCGGCACACGCTACGCAAGCGGCCTCCCCGTGGGCTGCGCCCCAGCCCAGCAGTGAAGCTTTTAGCTGAAGCGCTTTGTGAAGGCTCTAAGGCCGAACCGACGCCACTCACTGCTCCGCCGCCTTCGCCATCCTCATCCTCCAAAGCCGGGCAGCCAGGTGGGCGTGGCCGGGGCAGGCAGGCATGCGTGCCAGGCCGCGGCCCCGACGCCGCCCGGGAGGCCAAGTTGCAGATTCCGCAGTTCTGAGCCGCGCTGGGGAAGCACCGGGCGGAAGCAGGTGGCGCAGCCTGGGCAGCGGCTGGTCCCGGCGCAGCTGGGGACAGCGACGCGCTTCCTGCCCGGGGAAGGGCCTGGCGGCTAGCTATAGCAGTCCTGCAGCTGCCTGCTTGGATTTCAGCGTCGGGGCTTCCAGGAAACCACCCGGCCCCGTGTTCCTTGCAGGGTGACATTTACAAGCATGCCCTCATCCGGGAAATGTAAGCTTGGAAAAGCAAGCCGGGTACGCTTGTGATTTCATGGGGTGCTGGAGCGGTTCAGAGACAGTAGGATACAAGATGAAGGCCAACCCGACCTACATCGTCAGACTTTGTCTCAAAGAACCGTTAGGAATGAAATAAGGAAGGCAGGAAAGCACACCGGACAAAATCCTTGCCCATTCATTCCTCCTGTTTGGCAGTCTCTAGTAATAAAGTTTTTTTCTGGACTGAGATGTAAACACTGATCCTTTCCTTGATCAGGGAATGTCCTTTGAGAGGTATTACTAATTCTGTTGAAGGCGAAGAACAGGCCCCAGGACATAAACAGCACTTCAAATCCACTTCTAAGGCAGTGGGAAGTTACTTTTTACTAGTTTATCTTGTTCATTCGGCATCTACAAAGTAAAATGTGCTTGGACTTGTGGGTGTTTTGCCTGCTAGGAAAGGCAAACACTCTACCACTGAGCTCTATCACCAGCCCCATATATAGGTGTGTATATGTGTGTGTTGGATAAACGTGTAAGAGAGATGCATGTAGAGGTCAGAAGACAACTTGTGCAAATTACTGTTTCTCTCCTTCCACCATGTGCACCCTAGGAATCACACTTCTGGTTGTCACCAGGATTGGTGGCAAAGACCCTTAACTGGTGAACCATCTCATCACCCCCTAAATTATATTTAAAACCCTGAGAAATTCTCCCAAAGTGTAAACAACCCAATTAGTTGTAACAGCATTACAGTGAATATTACTAAATAAATGCTGTTACATTCCAGTCTGATTTTTAAATTTTTAAAAAAAATTTTGTATGAGTGTTTTGCATGCAAGTATGTAAGTGCATCCATACATGCAGTGCCTCAGAGGTAAAAAGAGGGCGTCAGGGCCCCTTGAACTGCCAGTTGTCACCTACCATGTGGGTGCTCGAACCAAACCTAGGTCTTCTACAAGAGCAGGCAGTGTTCTTAACTGAACCATCTCTTCAGCCCTGGTCCAACTTGTAGACAGAGTATTTCTTCCAGTAGATCTTATTCCTGGCTCCCTGGCAGAGCAGGTTCAATAGACTGTGTGTCTTATACAAATAATTATAATCCTCAACTTTTTTAACCTAGGCAAATCTGAATTCTGAGTTTATAACTAATGCTGACCCACAGGGCTAAAAATGCTTACCTTGTATGAAAATGAAAGAAAATATAGACTGGGCAATAATTAGTTAAATGCATATTATTCAAGAACTAAAACGTGTAAAACCCGTTGCTCCATCTGCTTTTTTTCAGTATTATAATGACCAAGTGTTCTCTCTCCAACTAATTTTAGTGGTAAATCACCATTTAAAAAATGACTTAAAGGCATATACTCAAGTAAAAATGTGAATTTAAGGGAAACAATTAGGTTGCAAAATGTGCTTTTAATTACACTGTATAAGCCACAACAATGAAAGACTCTAGATTTCAAAATGGAGAAAGAGGATTAGGGAGACGCTCCATTTGCCAGGCAAGCACAAGGCCCTGAGTGTGATTCACAGCACAGGCAGGGGGATCTGAGGCTCATGGCTGACCTCTAAAGCACGAGACCCTATGTCAAACAGCAAGGTGAACGGCTCCTGAGGAACAACACCAGAGGCTGTCCCCAAGCTCCCAAACACGCACACACCCCACACACAGTCACCGAAAAAGAGGAAAAAGAAAGAATGAGTTCTCTTTCTTAAGTTTCACCTTAAAGACAGAGGTAAGAAACACTGTGGGCTGGGGTGTAGCTCAGTGATGAGAGCACTAAATACGCACAAGGCCTGGGTCAAATCCCAGTACCAGAGATAATAAATAAATAAGTAGCTGGGACATGTACTAGCTCACTGCATCCGGGAAAGTGACTCTGTACATTTCCTGGGTACTGATCTTACAGAGGTGGTTTGCTGAGCCTGAAGCTTTCAACCTGTTCATGACCACAGTAATTCGCTAATATCACAGGCACCCCAACAGGTAAGTGACCCCATCACTCTTTTCCCTATTCAAATGCTTCACAATGCAATAAAGCAAGACAGTCTAAGAATAAACTTCAACCTCCTCTAAACCTGCAAGTGTGACTCACACAGACATAAATACCATGACAAAGTATGTGTAAAACCCTCAGGCATAGCTTGTCAGTTACAACAGAACCCACCAGCAGCACTGCCATGGGGTGAGGACCACTGCTATTCTCACTGCTAGGAGCTGATGGGAGCTGCTGCTGCTGCTGCTTTTCAGCAATCATCTCGTAACAGCAAGGAAAGGATGGAAGGCACCCAGAGTAGGAAAAGCTTGCAGAAAAGGAGGGACACAGACGGCAAGGATCCAGCCCGTGAATCCTGGCAACTTGGCTGGGCCTTCCAAGGGACAGCATCTCTTCTGAAAACAAAACAGCAGCCCTGGAAAAGTGTTGATCTGCTCCTTTGGCCACACAGTTATTTTTGAAGTATTTACTTAGCGGCTTCGGCTAATCCCAGCTCTCCTGTGAGATGGAAACGTGAAGAATGGAAATGGCGGGCTCAATGAAACAGTGAGACAGGAGAGAGGGGGCCCAGCACTTTCACTGTGCCCAGTGAGCCTCATTGCAGTCCAGGGGCTTCAAAGATTCTAGGCTGTGACTTGGCCACAGCGCACAGAGATGGTTTGTTCCAATGACGTATTTCACCCATGAACGCCTAATCTGCACGTATTTTTGTTTGTTACTCCTATCTGAAAGTGCTTATTTTTGGAGAACAGCAATGCATTTTATTATCCATTCTTTCCATTCCTTAAAGGCTTCCACAGGTTTCGGCAAGCTCTCATTCTCACAACTATGTTTCGGAGTTGCTCTTGGTGTGTCACTACATTCGTCATCAATCCATCTCACCAGTGCCTTGAAAAACACATGGACAGACAACAGTTTAGCAAATCATGACAGAACAGTTTTAGGCAAGATAACATTGGCATGTAAGTCAGGCTTTCTAAGTCTGTGATTTGTGTCCCCCATGAAGATGCTGCATCTGACGAAGAGGACTACAAGCACAAAACACCTGTGACATATTGAGTAAAACAGCACAGGCCAAAAGTGTATAAAACACAACTGCAAATTATGGTCAAAGTATATCAGAGCTGGGTGTGGTGGCTGAGGCAAGAGGATTGCCATGAGTTCACAGCTACCCTGGGTTACACAGTGAATTCCAGAACAGCCAGGGCTATAGTGTGAGACCCCCAAAACCCCCACAAACAACGACAAATGTATGCAGAGGAAAAAAGATGAAAAACAAATATACTAATTCTTATATAATTTTAGGGTGGCAGAATAATTATGATTTCTTTTTTCAATTTGCTTAATATTCCACAAGGCGTTATGCTGTGCTTTTAGCTTAATGCACATGTACATGTGCATGCAAATGTGCCCTGGATAGATGTATAGGTGTCAAGTCATGGATGTAGATATTCAAGGATGGTCTCTTCATGAGCAGGCATACCCCTAGTTAACCACAGGTAGGCATGCTGACATACAGGGGTTAGAACTCTTCCTCTTCCTTCTTAAACACAACCATCCTTTTCTCCCAGTGGAAAACATGTCTCTGGAAAGCTAAGTTACAACCACACATTTACAAGCTTATAAAAGGGGCTTTGCCACACAGATCAATATGCATTCTGCTCTGTAAAGCCAATCCCTCTTGTCCTAAATGGACATGACTTCTTTTCATCATGTCTCATTGAACTGTTAAGATGGTCATTGTCAAATTGAAGTTTCTGTTTTAAAATTTCAAAAACGTTTCAATTTTTATTTTATGTGGGTTCTCCCTGTGTGTATCTAAGTGCACCACATGAGGGTAATGCCTGTAGAGGCCAGAAAAGGCATCAGATCCCTTGGAACTAGAGTTACAGATGGTTGTGAGACACCATGTGGGTGCTGAGAATTGAACCTGGATCCTCTGCAAGAGCAGCCAGTGCTCTTAACAACTGAGCCATCTCGAGTCCCCAAGTTTTTATTTTGAGACAGGCTGGCCTAGAATGCCTATGTAGCCCAGGTTGGCCTCAGTTTCATGGTAATCCTCTTGCCTCTCACCCTATGTGTTGGGAGTACAAGTGTGAGCCACCATGCCTGGCTACATTGAAGGGCTTTGGGGTTTTAAAATTTATTTATTGAGCCAAGCATAGCAGCACATGCCTTTCATCCCAGCACTTGGGAGGCAAGAGGCAGGTGGATCTCACAGACCAGCCTAGTCTATATAGTGAGTTCCAGGCCAGCTGGGACTACAGGAAAACTCTGTCTCAAAAAGCCAAAAAAAGATTTACTTGTGTATGTGATGGGAGACTGCATGCCACAGTACACGAGTGGAGGTCAGAGAACAACTTGTAGGGGTCAGCTCTCTCCTTCCACTGTGGATTCTAGGGTTTCAACTTGGGTCTTCAAACTGGAGGGTGAGGTATGTGTCCACCCCAAATTGAAGGTTTGAAGAAGGGTACTGTTTTTGGTATTTTGCAAATGTGCTTGCAGAGTGTGTGTGTGTGTGTGTGTGTGTGTGTGTGTGTGTGTTCACATGTTCATGTGTGTGGACACAAATGTGTACAGATGTATAAGCCTGTGTGCAGTGGGAGCCCAAGGCAGTGTTTTCCTTACATACTGAGGCAGGGTCTTCTACTGAACCTGAAGCTTGCCAGCCCCCTGCCAGGATTCTGTTTCTACCTCTTAAGCACTGAGATTGCAGGTGAGCCACCGTGACTACCCGGCATTTATGTGGGTCTTGGGGATCCAAACCCTGGTCTTCTGTGGTGAGGCAGCAAGGGCTTTACCTGCTGAGCCATCTCCCCAGCCCTCTGCATTTTCTTAAAACCACAGTTTCCTGCTTGTCTTTACACTAGTTTCCTCTGATAAATTAAAAGTTTTAAAAGACCTAATAGAAAATGTCGGTTTGCTACTTAGCTAACCACTTCCCTCCTCATTGTGTCCCCCTCCCCACTTACCTCATATCTTTCTATAATACTGAAGCCAATAGCACACTGCAGCTTGCGTAGGCAGACAGGGCAAAGGTTTAGAGGACGCCGGTCAGATTCCTCTAAGTGGTTGGAGCCTTGCATGAGGCATGCGAGCCACTGGCAGTGTCGCAGTCCAAATATGTGTCCGATCTCATGAGATAAAGTCTGCAAGACATACATACATACACAGCTTTACAGCACGACCATCATCATGTTACTCATTGCTTTTTGCTTTTCCAAGAAACAGCAAACCAGGGGCCCTGGCCATGGTAAGCCAGCACTCAGTTCTACCTCCAGTTCCTGAAATCTTCATTTCTAAAGGAAATTGACTAAGTTTGTTCAATTCAACTCAAAAGCAAGTGGGTTTACATGCACCAACCCCCTTCCCATCAGCATCACTTCATTCTGCCCAGATCTCCAACACTTAGCAATCCCTGTTTCATTACTTCCCCTGGACAGGGTCTCCCCGTTGATGCTGTTGACAAGTTGACTGGCTGATCCCATGTTGTGGGAACTGCCCAAGTGAATGAGGCAGGACGGTAGATAACACCTTAACAGAAAGAGAGGTAGAGAAAGGGGCCATCGATGGGAGACAGTGACAAGGGGGCTGGTAGCTTTATTTTTAGTGCAGGTAAAGACACTGACAGAGTAGGATGCCTGGACACCTTCACCTGATCGTCAGCAGACTCCAATATAGCCCCTTACATGAACACTGAAGGATGCATAGTGTCCATTAGAGGACAGTACAATCTCTGCAACTGTGACCATCAGAAAAGTCCCCAGAGCTGGGTGTGGTGGTGCATGCCTGTAATCCCAGCACTCAGGAGGCTGAGGCAGGAAGACGGTGACTTTGCTTTAGGTCCTTATTACTGTTTACATTCTGGGCCCCTTTACCCCCAGAGATAAGAGTCAGTAGATCTGGGAGGAGGGGCTTGATCTGCATGCTAATGAGCACACTAAGTGATGCTAATAAGCATACCGAGTGAGGTAAGGGTGTCCTTTGAATATACTTTGTGCACATATTTCTAAGAGAAGCATCTCTCAAGCCCCAACAAATAGGTTAGAAAAAAGCAAAACTTCTATTTGAAAAAAAAATACTCCCATAAGATTTTTTTTACGTATACGAGCATTTTGCCTGTATGTATATAAGTGTACCACATGCACACAATGCCCACAGAGGCCAGAAGAAGACGTTGGATCTCCTGGGACTGGAGTTATGGATAGTTGTTGGCCACCAAGTGGGTGCTGGGAACCTGGATCTTCTGCAAGAACAGTCAGTGCTCTTAACTGCTGAGCCATCATTCCAGCCTCTCCTGTAAGAATTTTTAAGCAACTTACCTTACAGGATCGCCACAGCAAAAGACTAGTGATTTCAGGGCTGTAATAGTTATCAAAAACAGAGTAGTCACTGGCAGATGCCCGCTGGGACTTCTTCACCTGGCCTTTGTATCGGGAGCTATGGAAATCCTTGCCGTACCTGGCGAAGCTGAATATCCCCACACCTACAAAGGGGGACCAGACAAGATTCACAAAGGAAAGACCAAGAAAGAGCCTGCTCAGACATCTGGTCAGTTGGGGCACATCTGCATTCATGTTCAGTCTCAAATACTGAAGGTCTGCCAATACAGAGGGACTTTTGCCTCAGACTTCCTTATCTAAGTTGAGCTAATGGCTTCTGGGGGAGAGAAAGACATTTTCTCCCGTGGTGGAGCCATCGGTAAGGTGTCATGCTCTTAGAAGTGACCCTAATTAATCTCACTGACTCATACACATGAACACAGCTGAAGTAGAAGGGGGAAGAGGGAGGGGCTCAGCAGGGGTTGGAGGGGACCTGAGAGAGGAAATGGGGAATACGATCAACGTATATTATTTACATGCATGAGAATATCATAATGAAGTCCATTACTATGTATAATTAATACATGTTAATAAAAATCTTACTAAAAAACAAACCCTCAATGCACCTATGGTCAAATTCTAGAGACACTAGAAGTTTCCAAGAGCATCTCCCCAGAGAAAATCTTTCAGAAACAGTCCAAATCACATACTCCAAAAAGAGCCCTGAGACGGTCACAGACCAGGTAGTCATGATTTTAGTCTGAGCTCACAAGCACAGATCTCTGCCTCACACACACCAGTGAGGGTTTCTGGCTTTTCCTAACACAGCCCCCACTGCCCCGATGACTCAGAACTATGATTTGGCCATTACCTTTCAAAGTCTTCCCCTCCTCCCCTCCCTTTCTAAAGCACAGCACAGCTCTATCATGAGGCTGGTGCTGGGTGACCAGAGTAAACACCCTTGCAGCTGACTTCCTGTGTAACATTTACAGTTCTATCTACCATCTCTACATGCACGGAGAACAGGCTGATGCATAACTGGCTCTATAGGAAACTGTTTTATAACTGGGCTTGTTTATACAAACACTGATTTATGCCTTCCAGTTGTTACTGTTAAATAATAGACTCTGTGTGCGTGCGTGCATGCATGTGTGTATTGCTGGGCAGTGCTCTACTAGTGAGCCACATACCACCTTGAATTTACTTATTTATTTTTAGCACTAAAAAACCCAGCACCCTGGCCATGCCAAGCAAGCACTCCATCACTGAGTTCTACCTCCAGTTTCTGAAGTCTTTCTTTGTAGGGAAATAAACTCACAGTAACTTTATTCAATTTAACTTGATTCAAGAGAATGTTCCTTACCTCACCCTTAGGAACTGCACACTGATAATTGAAATTTAGGGAAAGAGCAGTCTGAAAGAAAAAGTAAATCTCACTATGTATCACAAGTGACCTGCTCTGACCAAACAAGTAAGAGCCTACCTCACATAATACCTTCAGCTAGAACACTGTATTTTTTATTTTTATTTTTTTTGGTCTTTTTGAGACAGGGTCTCCCTGTAGCCCTAGCTGTCCTGGAACTCACTATGTAGACCAGGCTGGCCTTGAACTCACAGAGATCCACCTGCCTCTGCCTCCCAAGTGCTGGGATTAAAGGCATGCACCATCACGCCCAGATAGGACATTCTACTTTTTATGTTAAAAAAAAAAAAAAACATTATTTTATTAATTGTTTCTGTACTTAAAAATACAATCTTTAGCAAGGCGTGGTGGTACACACCTTTAACCCTAGTAGTACTCAGGAGGCAGAGGCAGGCAGATCTCTGTGAGCTCAAGGCCAGCCTGGTCTACATAATGATTCCATGCCAGATGGGGCTATGCAGTGAGAGACCCTGGGGCCACCAGGGGCAGCCATAGGACCTGAATGGATTACCACGAAACTGAAAATGAACCAGGGGGCCCAGGTGTCCACGCACCTGAGTGCTGACTGTGTTGGCAGCTCTGCTTGTGCTCTCACACTCATTAGCGCTACAGCTGAATGTTTACAGAACAGAGAACAACAATAAAGTAGCTTGAATAAAACAGTTCATCAAAATATAATGAGCAAGATAACGTTATCACCATAGTGTGCCTTCCTGGGAAATCAAAGTGTCTCCTGAGAAACTAGGAAGTATTCCGGAGATAATGCCCCAGCAAGCATTCTTGCATACACTTTCTCATGAGACAAGGCTCTCCAGACATACATACTCAAGGTTCAGCTAAATTTACCAAGCATATTTTTCGAACCATAGAACACTCTTCCATAGAACACTCTTCCACAGTCCCTTCAAGGCTCTGTCTCAAACAAACAAACAAACACACAAAACATCATCAACAACTTTGATCTCTAGGAAAGCAAGGTCCCTTGCATCCCAGTCTCACTGTGGCAAGATCAACTCTGCTAGCTGCTGTACCTTATTTTATGTGATGTAGTGTTTTTAAAACTTACCCTTCAAAAAGAACGAAAATAGAAACCATTGGGGAATATTTCCTGACATCCTCAAATACATATGCTGAATTAGCTAATAATATCTAGGTCAATGACTAAATTATTTTAAATTGAGTTTTAATGTTTCCATCTCTAATAAGCTATCAAAGGGAGACTTCTGATAAAAATCCACATCATAGGCCGGGCATGGTGGCACACGCCTTTAATCCCAGCACTCAGGAGGCAGAGGCAGGCAAATCTCTGTGAGTTCAAGGCCAGCCTGGTCTCCATAGCGAATCTAGGCCAGCTAGGGCTACAGGGAGACCCTGTCTCGGAAAGACCAAAATTAAAAAAAAAAAATCCACATCACAAAAATCAGCAAAACAGTAACCCAAGTCTCCAAGAATGCCTGCTGGTAGGTTCACAGGGGTGCCATAAAGAATCTCATGTGAGTGGAGAACTGAGGATGCAGTTGTGGGAAGAGGCTCTATTCCCCAGCCTCCACCTCTAAACAGAAATATTTGTCAGAGAAAGCCCCTACTCCAAACCCTGAGCTTAGTGTATACCCAGACAGACCATAAACTCCTGGTCCAGTCCCAGGTTCTTAATCCCCCAATCCCTAGGGTGCCGATAGCTGTTCCTTTATTTACTGGTCTTTTCCCTTCCGGCCTGTCCTAGAACCTAAGGGATGATGTCAGACAGAGAAGAGCAAAATGAGAGGGGTAGGGAAGAACAAAGTAGAGAAGAGGCATAAAAAGAAAAAAAGAAAAAAGAAAAAAAAAAAAAAGGAAAATGACTCATCTGCAAATCCCTTTCCAGCCCCAACACTGCCATGTAAAGTTCCTAATGACTTATAGTTTATTATGTCCCAAGTCAAAGTTGAGGTCTTTCCTTTTTCTTCATCACTGATAAGGCTGAGCCCTTGCCTTATATGACTTTTTTCTTCTTTTTCTTTCCTTAGACACAGTCCTGCTGTGTAGCCCAGGCTGGCCTGGACTTGTTACATAGCCCAAGCTGGCCTTATACTCATGATCTTCCTGCCTCTGCTTCCCAAGTGCTAGAATGACCTGCCACCACACTCAGCAAGAGCTGTTGGTGCTCTTTTTGTAGCTTTTTTCTTTGGTTTTTGGAAATCAGGAACCTATAGTTGAGGCTTCCCTTAAACTCACTATGTAGCTGAGGCCAGCCTTCAACTCCTAATCCTTCTGCCTCCACTTCCCAAGTGCTGAGGTTACAGGGGTACATCACCATACCTGACTCCAAATTGGTTTTCTAGACGTACTCTACCACTGAGTCACATCCCCAATCCTTGAAGTTAGTTTACTTAAGGGAAAAAAAAAGCCATAATACAAGTTGAAAAAGAAATACACACTCTTAAATCAGTATATGGCTGTTCCACTGGTGCAAGATCATTATGAAAAGTCAAGAGTTAAAAACAACCAGCAAGAGATAGGGATTCATGTAGCTCAGTGGTCGAGCCCTTGCCTTGTATGACTAGTCCTTGGGTTCAATCCTCAGTACTACACCTACACACACCTACACACACACATACACACACACACACACACACACACACACAAAATAGAAAAAAATTAGCAAGATTTTTACATGTGCTAAATATAGTTCAAATATCCTTAATTTGATTTACCCTACTAATACATAACTTACATTTACTGGCTGCTGTGCTAAGTGCCTCTACATGTACCAGGCATCTCACACACTTTTTATGGATAGGAATTGTTATACAAATTATCTCCCAATGACTCTGTGAAATAAGTATTATGTCTTCAAGGTCTGTTGTGGTAAAAGGTCTACTGAAGAGGAACCCACACCCTCAGTCCACCAAGACACAATGCCCATTTTGACCTTCACGGCACCTCACCAAAAATACCAGTTTGGGGGTTTTTGTTTGTTTGTTTATGTGTGTGAGTATATTCCTGCATGTATGTGAGTGCACCTGTGTCGTGCAATGCTGTGGAGGTCAGAAGAGGGCTTCAGATTCTCTTGGAACTGGACAGTTTGTAGCCACCATGTGGGTGCTGGGAATCAAACCTGGGTCTTCTGCAAGAGCAGTCAGTGCTCTTAACCGCAGAGCCATCTCTCCAGCCCCCTCAAAATACCAGTTTTAAGACAAAACTATTACTATTACTAGGTGGACTTTTCTTTTTTTCCTCTTTGAACATCTTCAAATACTCTCAGCTTTAGGAACCTTCTACCAGTATCAAAAAGGAATACCTTCTGTCAACGAGGCCTGTCCAAAGACAAAATTCCAGGTGTCTCGAGGGTAAAGATCGATCATTGTTATCCCCACAATGCAGAAGGCATCTTTGGGTTTCTTCTTCTTTAGGAATGCCAGAATGTGCCCTATTTAAAAATGTAATACACATTAATATGCAGGTCCTTTTCGCTAAATTCCAACTTTAAGGTGGTTCAACTTACCTGCATGAATTTGCAGATTCTGTGTGTGTTCATTCACTCTAAAGGAGCACCTAGTTGCAGAGACTGAAACTGGTTCTAGGAATTTTACTGTCAAGCCATAGAAAAATGCTTCACAATAGCCCTTGAGCCATTTGATATATCCTTCATTGATAAGTTTGGTATTTCCTAGAGAGCCTATAATATGGGAGGGAAGAATTAAAACAGACTTCGAGATGACTGAAACAACAGTCTTCACCCTATTCTAAAAACTAGAAATCTGAAGTTAGAAATACAAGCAACTTTAAAATTCCAAGACATCTTTATCAATCATTGGCAGCAATACGAGTCAAAAGAAAAAAAATTTTCGCTGTTAAGTCAGCTTGGCTACAAAACTTTTATCATTTCAATGAGTACTGAGTGTCAATAATTATCATATGTGGGGCCAATAGGATGGTTCAGCAGGTAAAGGTGCTTACTGCACAAGCCTGATGACCTGAGTTCAATCCTGGAACTCATGTAAAGGTAGAAGAGAAACAACTTCACAAAGTTGTTCTCTAACCTCCACACGCATGGCACATGGAAGCCCCTCTTCCCATACTGTGTATACACACACACACACACACACACACATGCGCACGCACAAATAATAATAATAGTTCTTAAATTATCACATATGGTAGAACACCTGGCCTGTACAGAGCCCTGTGTTCAATTCCCAGCAATTAAAAAAGTTATAAAGGGGTTAGAGAGATGGTTCAGTGGTTAAGAGCACTGGCTGGTCTTGCAGAAGATCCAGGTTCGAATCCCAGTACCCACATGACAACTAATAAATATCTGTAACTCCAGTTCCAGGGGATCCACCACCCTCTTGTGACCTCCTCAGACACTGCATGACACAGGTACACTTACATACATGCAGGCACAACACTCATACACATAAAATAAAAATAAATAAAAAGTTATAAAAACAAGCTACTCACTTGAATTAGATCAACAGCCCAAACCATCTCTGAGAAGAGCACCACAGCAAAGCCAAACCCAAACCTCCATATTCTTAATACATACCAATGGACTGTATATAGATATTTTGTTTTCCTGGACAGGGGGCCTTTCTATAGTGATCACTGAAGAACTGTTCAAAGTCTTGGGGAGACTCAGGATGGGAGATAATCCAATCTGACTGTGAATGTACGGTAATGGGTGCAAAGAGGTCATTAACTGGCTGGAAGGCTTCATTCAGTAAACGTTGTTCCCCAGCACCTAATTTCTCATACTGTGACACAAGCACTGGGTTCTTTGAGATGAGAGCTGTTTTTAATGTCTCTTCAGAGTGCTGAAGTATCTCAATCTGGAAAAAAAAAAAAAAAACCAATCCACAAGAAGTCTGATATAAAATTAATCTATCCATCCCAGGGACTCTACCTGTCCTCCAAATGCATATCCAATTCTTCCCTAGTTCCCTAGAATGGAGTAACCTATTGCTAATGTCAAGTGTCACGTTTAAGAGGGGGTTCTCCACTTCCAATCAGTTTATTGGGGAGAGTATCTAAGGTATTAGAAATCCATTCTTGCATCTCATATAGAACCTGCTCCCACTACAAAAGCTAGAAATAAGATGGGCCTGATGGGGGATTCCTGCAATCCCAGCATTCAAAAGGCAGAGGCAGGGGGACTGTTGCAAGTACAAGACCAACCTGATCTACAGAACAAATTCCAGGTCAGCCTGGGCTACATGGGAGACCTGTCTCAAAAAGGGAGGAAGTGATGTGCTGGAGAGACAGCTCAGTGGATAAGAACACTTGCTGCTCTTACAGAGGACCCAAGTTCAGTTCCCAGCACCCACATCAGATGCCTCATGAAACTGCCTATAACTCCAGCTCCAAGGGATCTGACACCCTCTCTGGCCCCTGTGGGCACTGCATGCACATGGTGCACATAAACACAGGCAGGCACACATACCCACACATAAATAATAAACAAAAAAATCTTTAAAGCTGGTGATAAACTGGGCATGGTGATACACATCTATCATCACAGCACTCTGCAAGTTCAAGGCCAGCCTGAACTACACAGCAACATTTGGTCGCAAAAACAGTAACAAAAACAAACAAGAAACCAGTGATGACCTTAAAAACAGAACCTGACAACCAATGTCCTTTTGTCATTTGGTAATGATCACAATGTGATGAGTTGACTCACTAAGGCCACATGAATAATTCTCACCCTGACATGACTCAAGGATATTTAATAGCAAAATGAGAAAGTACCCTGTTCTAAAATTTGACTGCAAGCTGACAAGATGTCTCAGCCACTTAAGTGTCTCATGTCAGTCATGAAGCGCTGGGGAGACATGAGACAACTGTTGAGAAGACAGACTCACAGAGACAGGTCTCTTCCCAGTCATACTGTGTTCCTGTGTGGCACTTTCATCCTTCCACTGAATGGGTCAGACAGATGTTCTTCCTAGAGGCTTTTGGGGTTAGAAAGGAAAAAGATGAACATCTCTACATTCTACTGCATTTTTCTAATTATCTAAGAGCTTTAATTAATTTTGAAATTTAATGGCTGTTGTCACTGAAACAGAATTCTGGGGTTGAAGGTGGAGGCAGAGATTCCAGATCAAAGGCCTATACAGACTAAGTTCTAATCGAATGTAGACTCATCCTCACTACTACTACGCACTGGGGCTGAAATTTTAGTTTTATAAGATGAAGTATAAAACAACGTGCTCCCCTGTAGTCTACCTACCTTCATAAAGGAGGGCTGCTTCCATTCAAGTTTTTATTAGGACAGATGTCTGGAAAAGTGTGGTGGAGGGTGCCTTCATCCTAATATAAAAAAGGCATGAAGGTCAGAAGCCTCCACAGCCTGGTCCATTGTGGGTGGCAATGTCGAAGACGTGGGCAGAGAGGCTTCATAGAGTTACAATCCTGGGCTCCCGGCCTAAGATGCTTGGGTTCTACAACCGGAACATCCCACGCAAACAGTCTCGTCACAGCAACTTACACTTTGGGATCGGCCGGTGTAGGCGCGACCCAGTCCCAGTTTGGGGAGTTGTTGAGGGCCTCCCCCGACTTTCGGTTTGCCTCTCCTTCCCAGGGGACCTCTCTGAAAGACAGGCCTCCCTCCCAGGAGACACCCCGCCCCCGCGGTCCCCTCAGCTTCCGCCACGGTCATCCCTCCCACATCCGCCTCCCTCCCCAGCAACCAGGGCCTTCCTCCTCCTCGCCAACCTGACTGTCCCAAGTAGGAGGCCCCGGCCCAGCTGTGAAGGTGACAGAGCACCACCCTCACCGAGACAGGCCTCAACGCGGCCCTCGGTCTCCCTCCGCCGTACCCGCGCGCATGCGCCCCGCGCCCCGTCTCGCCTGCCCCACTGGCACCGCCCACGGGCTCTGCAGCTTCCACGCCCTCTCGCCTCGCCCCGCCCCCTTCGGCCCTGGCCCTCCCCTAAAGACCCCGCCCCTCTCTAAGGCCCCGCCCCGTTCCACGTCACGCCCCTCCCTGGCTCTGGGCCTTCTGAGCGAACGGTAGCCTGAGGGCTGAGGTCGTTTCCCGCAGGCCCTCGCGGGGGCGTCGGTGCCCGCTCCTCCCGGGCGGTGCCAGGTCACCGGCAGCTGCGACCGGCCGTCTAGCGCCCAAGGCCGCAGTTCCTTTGGGGTTTGCCCCGAGGGCCGCGAGCTGAGGAGCGCCCCAGGCATGAGTAATTTAACCACCGGGTCCAAAATAAGTCAGCCGTGGCCGCGGCTTGACGCATCGCCGGGCACGCGCCCCAAGCCGCCGCCCGCTGGACTTTCCCTTCTCGGTCCGCTGAAGCGGCAGAGCCGGAAGAAGGCCGCCGCCCCAGGGCACTTCCATCCTGGGGACCACGAGGCTCATGGAAGGCGAGGCATAGAGCTGGGGCCGCCCCAGGGCACTTCCATCCTGGGGACCACGAGGCTCATGGAAGGCGAGAGCATAGAGCTGGGACCCCCCACCCCCACCCCCAGGACCCTTCAGCTCTGGGAAGCCAAGCCTGAAGTTATTAAAAAAGAAAGCTATGGCCGGGCCTGGTGGTGCATATCTGTAATCCTAGTGCTTGGGAGGTGGAGACAGGAGCATCCCTTTCATGGTCATCCTCTGCAGCATAGCGAGTTCAAGGCCAGCTTGGGCTACAAGAGCCGCTGTTTCAAGAAGCAGGATCCCCTGATCTCGCGCCCCCCAGCACGCAGCTGTCCAGCCCCTCATGCGTCCCAGTGCCCTTCAGACACCATGGATGGCCAGATCAGAGGATGCCACAACTTTGTCAGCATCCTCTCATCCTTTGACTTGACGACCTCAGCCCACACAGCCCTACCCTTCTTCGCTCCCAACCCCCAAATTCTGCATGCTCGTTGCTTTGTGCATACTGCTTTAATCGTCCTTATTACGATGATTAATTGCCTGGTTCATACGTGTTGTCCTTACTCAGCCAAACTGCCCTTACCAAATTGACAAAACTGTTTGTTCGGGAAGTTTTCGTTTGTGTTTCCGTTTCTTGGGACCGGTCTCTTGCAGTTTCCAGCTAGCCTTGAACTCACTGTGCAGCAGAGGATGACGGTGAGCTTGATTTGATCTTCCTGTGTCCAGCTCCCAAGCACTAGGATTACAAGTATGCACCACCAGGCCTGCCATAGCTTTATTTTTAAATAATTCCAGGTCAAGTATGGTGGTACACACCTGTTATTCTAACTCTTGGTAAGCCAAGGCAGGAGGATTGCCACAAATTGGAGGCCAGTCTGACCTAAATAATAAGTACCAGGCTAGCCTGGGATAGTAAGGCCTTGTCTTTAAAAAGAAAATTCAACTTCATAGAAAAGTAGCAAAAATAGTATGTATATTTCATATTTTTTTTATATTTTATTCATTTTTATTTTATGTGTATGAGTGTATTGCCTGCATGTGAGTGCACCCGTGTCATGCAATGCTGCAGAGGTCAGAAGAGGGCTTCCGATTCTCCTGGAACTGGATGGAGTTAAGGACAACTCGCAGCCGCTATGTGGGTGCTGGGAATTGAATTGGGGTCCTCTACAAGAGCAGTCAGTGCTCTTAACCACTGAGGCATCTCTCCAGTCCCAATAGTATGTATATTTTTTAAATTCTTACATAGTCATAATCTAGAATTCCCAACTATGAACATTTTACCTTATTTGCATCTCTCCATCCCTCCAAAATTTTAAAAATTTATTTTTTCACAATTATATATATGTATATATAAAGTGATTTGATCATATTTCCCCCACTATCCTCTTTTCTAAATTTTTCTTTCTTTTTATTATTTTATGTGTATGAATGTTTACCTGAATGTATGTAAGTGCATCCATGTGATTGCAGTGCTGTAGAGGCCAGGAGAGGGTGTCAGATCCCCCTGGAACTGGAGTTACAGAAGGTTGTTAGCCACCATGTGGGAATTAAACCTGGGTCCTCTGCAAGAGTACCCAGTGCTCTTAACCACTGAGCCATCTCCCCCCCACCCCAATTATCCTCTCATCCCCTTCCCAACAACTTTTTCCCCCTTCTAAACCATTTTCAGATCAGCAGTAGGCAGGATGTCCCTTTCTAAATACTTCAGAGTGTATTTCTGAAGAACAAGCAAATTTTCATGAGCAGCCATGGGACAATGACAATGTGAATTCCTGCTAATATCTCCAGTGCCAGTCTAACACCACAGAGTTCATGCTGGCTTTCTCTTTTTCCACATGTGCGATTCCCAGGGTAACGAGAAGCTTGCCTCCCGCCTCCCACTGTTTATATTTTGTTTCTCTGTCTATCTGTTCTTTGGTGGAGTATTTACTGGAAATGATTTCAAGTAACTAATCCATACCACTGCAGACTAACAACCCTGCCAATTAGCATTCAGGAATTATTCACCATCTTTACAGCCATATATATCAAACTATGCTGTTCAAGTTCCTAGGGCCAATTCCTTTCCCAACCTATCACTAACCTTCAGTGTAGTATTATTAATCTGAAATACAATTACAGTCATTTGTTTTTGTTGCATTTCACTTTAAAGATTTTTTCCTTTTTTTTTTAAAAAAACTTTATTATTTTTATTTTATGTGTATGTGTGTATTGCCTGCATGTAGGTAAGTGCACCCGTGTTGTTCAATGCCTGAGGAGGACAGAAGAGGCTGTCAGATCCCCTGGAACTGGAATAACAGATGGTGTAAGCTGCCATGTGGATGTTGGGATTCGAATCCGGGTCTTCTGCAAGAACAGCCAGTGTTCTTAACTGCTGAGTCATCTCTTCAGCCCCACTTGTTTGTATTTCTTTTTTCCTTTTCCTTTTTTTAGGCAGAGTCTCACTCTGTAGCCCAAGCTGGTACCACATTTGGCTTGGAACCCACTATGTACCTTATGCTGGCCCCAGGCTCATTGTGATCCTCCTGCCTCAGCCTCTTGGATGGTAGGATCACAGGCATGTGTCACCATGTCTGTCTTTAAGTTTGTTGATCTTTTTTTTTTTTTTAATGTATGACATATCAACATAGCTATTTTTTGGGGGGTCTTTTTGAAGCAGGGTCTGCCTGTGGCCCCAGCTGCCCTGTAACTTACTATGTAGACCAGGCTGGCCTTGAACTCACAGAGATATGCCTGCCTCTGCCTCCCAAGTGCTAGGACTACAAGCGTACGCCACCACGCCCAGCAACATAGCTTTTTTTTTTTTTTTTTTTTGGTCTTTTTGAGACAGGGTCTCCTTGTAGCCCCAGCTGACCTGGAACTCGCTATGTAGACCAGGCTGGCCTCAAACTCACAGAGATCTGCCTGCCTCTGCCTCCCAAATGCTGGGATTAAAGGCATGCGCCACCATGCCCGGCCAACATAGCTATTTTTAAAAAGTTGCATTTGATGATAAATTTCCAGTGATAGTCCTGGTATAAGTGTGTATAAACTGATATAAAACATGTTTGGGGAACAACTTGATACTTCATAAAAGTAAACCCACTGACCCAATAGGGGATCATATTATTTATTTATAATTATGAAAAATGAAAACAAAAATCCCCAGCTATTAGAAATTGAGAAAATCATAAATTATCCATCATAAAGCATCCCCCATATCTACTCATATATTGTACATCAAGCACCACTTAATTTTGCAAAGACAGTAGTTACCTGGAGAAATGTTAGGACACAAAAATGGTGACACAGCCAGAGTGAGGGCGCACGCCTTTAATCCCAGCACTTGAGAGACAGAGGTGGGCAGATCTCTGTGAGTTCCAGACAAGCCTGGTCTACATTGCAAGTTCAGTCAGACCAGCCATTGCTACATAGTGAGACCCTGTCTCAAAAAAAAATGTATATAATCTAAACATTTAAAAACTACGGTTTGTAGTTCAGTGCCTGTAGTTCAGTGGTAGAGCATTTGCCTAGTATGTGCAAGGCCCTAGGTTTGATCCAAGCACCACGAAAAAGAAAACAAAAGAATGTATAGATATTTCAAGTATGTGCTTTTAAAAGCTAAAAAGTACTCAAATGCTTGTCCTAACTGATCGCTGTTTTCCCTGGAATTTATCCCTATGCTGGATGCTTCAGTTGTCCCCTTGACACACCTGGGAAGAGGGACCCTCACTTGGGGAATTTCCTCCATTGGCGTGGCATCTGGGCATGTCCACTGTGTGTGGTGACACCGCTGGGCAGGTGGTCCTGGGTGGTATAAGTAAACAGGCTGACCACAGGCCATGAGGGCAAGCCAGTAAGCAGTGCTCCTCCAGGGTCTCTGCTTCAGCTCCTCCCTCCTAGTTCCTGCTTGAGTTCCTGCCCTGGCTTCCCTCAATGAACTGTACTATAAACTGAAATAAACCATTTCCTCCCCAAGTTGGTTTTGGTCAGAGTGTTTTATCCACAGCAGTTGAAAGCTAACCAGAACAATCCCCATAGTTCTAAATAGTGTGCACAGTAAGATTTCTTTTCTTTTTATCTTGTTTTTTTTGTTGTTGTTGTCGTTTTGTTTGCTTGCTTGTTGTTTTGAGGCAGGGTCTCCCTGTAGCCCAAGCAGGCCTGGAACTCACTAATTTACGACATAGAACAGGCTGGCCTCAATTTCATCTCACAGAGGTCCCTCTGCCTCTGCCTCTTGAGTGCTGAGATTAAAGGGGTACGCCACCACACCCAGCCTTATAGTACGATTTCCTGACTGATATCTTAGGTAGCATATGTCGCCATGACATGTATGGGTTAGATCTCATAATGCTTCCCAACTCCCATCCTCTCAGTATGGTTAAAACATAAATTTTGGTTGAATCTATAGTCACTATGTTATGAATATGCTGACATTGATCACTGCATCAGATATCTTTCTCAGTCACTCTCCAGCTTAATTTTGAGACAAGGTCTCACTGGGCTCACA